TAAATAAATAAAATCCCTTTAGCCTTTGACCCTGCACTGGGGTTTCTCAAACCCTTTCCTGTCCTCAAAAATATGTCCTATTCAAGTAGTAGTGCCCGGCAAGAACATCTGGCCTGCACAGGAGCTCAGCCACCAGCCCCCGACGTGCAGAGCAGTACCCCTGGGGGAGGCAAAGCTACATAACCTTCCCCTTGGTGAGTGCGAGATGAAGGGCTGATGTGGCCAAGGATCTTCAGCAGATGTTGATTTAGGAGAGGTCGTCAGAACTCTTTAAATGGAGAAAGTATGGGACTCAGCTCAGAAAAATCCTCCTGCCCTCCCAGGATTATGTTAGTTCCCTACTCTTTTTATAGACGAGACTATCATACCTTCCAAACTCACTATGCCTTTCAGTTTGACTAATACTAAAAAAAAAAAAAAAAAAAAAAAATCACCTAAAATTCCTAGTTTTCCTTCTTGTCTTGTTCTAGACCTTCGAGTTCCAAGTATTCTCAGTTATATGGGTAGGGATGGTGTCCATCAAGGCAAAGGCAGCAGAAATCAGAGGCCATCTCCAGCAGCCTGCACCACCCCATCTATGCCTTTCTGTATCTTTCTCTCTTTTTTTTTTTCTAAAAATTTAGAAAGAAAACCTGGCAAATTATTACCTACCTAATACACATTTAGGTGTTCCCCTTCCCCACTTTTTACCTATAAACGATAATTACTTTCAGCATTTGAGACATAACCTGAGGCCTGAAAAGTACCCTGCCATCCCCCCCTTCCCACCCCCGATATGGGGCAGCTCCAGTGACAACAAATTGGCCCCCCATACGTATCGACAAAAACCACAAGTTCTCACTCTCGGTGACTCGAATTAGTGAAATGAAACAGTCATTTCTATTTTTGTAGTTTTAAAGAGTTACACTTAATAGCACAGTTAAAAGGTCAGTTCTTGAAATTAATGGGCGAGTCCAGGTCCCAACTGAGGGCAGAGAAGGATTTTTTAGAGGGCCCGAGGGCCCTTGGAACACCCTGTTTGGAGGTCATGTGTTGGGCAGAAAAGAGTCTTCAGGCTGGGGTGACACTGTAATAGCACCCGCCTGGAGAAGGCACTTTCCGAGACTTTCGATCAGCCATGGGCAGCTATTTGGAAGTCCCCATATGCAGTGGCCTAGCAGGATCCCAGCCACAAGGGATGTAAAGAAGCCAGCCAGATCTAACCTCCCTCGAGGTATACTGAGTTCTTGCGAGGACTTCCTATGGCTCAGGCTCCTGGCCTGCTCCTTTGGGTTCCCTGACATACCCTGGAGGACCTGTGCCCTTTGTCCGGTCACACTACTTAGAGTTGCACTACTTAGAGAGCACACATCAAGCAGGAAGCACCTCTCAGCTATAGAATTTCTGCCTTCTCCGGGGTATCCCTGGGACATCTTTTTGGAAATGTCCCTGAATCGTCTGGGCGAACAAATGTTTTCAGGCTTTTGCCATCTAACCAGGTTTTTATATATCTTATCGATGATGTCAACATCCTGCTTAAACTTTTTCAGTAACTCTTCTGTCTTAAGATAGAATCCCAGCTCCTCAGCGGAGTTTATAAGATCTGGTGCCCTAACCTGACACGTCTCACCTGCTCTATGTTGGCCACTCTGGATGACTTATGGTTCCAGCACGCCAGGTTCTCTCTCCCCTCTGAGCTTGGCACATTTTATCCACCATGCAGCCAAAGCTGGTGTTTCCACCCCCCTCCCTTCCCTTGAATCTGGGCTTATTAAGCGGCTTGCTTTGGCTAAAGGGAAATTAGCCAAGCTCTCGCCAGCAGAGGCTAAAAGGCACTTACTTGTATGCTGGAGTCTGTCCTCCCTTGCTGCCTTGGGAACCCTGAGCTTGCAATATGAAGCAGCTGAGACTAACATACTGGGGGATGAGAGACCACATGGAGCAGGCCCAAGCCATCCCAGCCGAAGCTCCCTTCTCCCACCAGCGTTACAACCGCTAGACGCAGGAGTGAGGCCATCATGGTCTAATCAGTCCCAGCCAAGTGGGCCGGACTCGAAGACCCCAGCTGACATTCAGCATCAGAAGAAATAATTCATATTTGTTGTCTGAAGCCACTAAACGTTGAGGTGGTTTGTTACACAGTGGAGGCAAACTGATCCACTCATTTTGCTTCCTGCGTAACACTTGCCCATCCTTCAAGTCTAAGGATGAAGGCTTCCTTGACTCCAGAAGGTGACACATTGGATTGTATGTCATCCTGTGGGTACCACTGACAGAGCATCAGCAACAGTGATGCTCTCCTCTCCCCCAGGGACTGAAGGCTGCTTTGGCCGTCGTGGATGCCTTCCTTAGAGTGCACACTCGGTACAAATTGGCTGAAAGAAGATACTGGAATATGTATATCTGTCGCCTGGCTTTTTCTGTCCATAATTTAAAAGAATTAGACTAGGTGATTTTTACCTATCACCACCTAGACATGGTAACTACATCAAAATATATTTTAATGTTTTTCTTTTTTTAGAGTTCCACTCATATCGATAGCCTTCGGGAATCTCCCTACTTGTTTTATAGACGAGACTATCATACCTTCCAAACTCACTATGCCTTTCAGTTTGACTAATACTAAAAAAATCACCTAAAATTCCAAGGGCCCTCAGCATACATGCACATGGATAATTCTGACAAATGCTGTCACTTTCACCGTCATGATTACTATATATGTCAAAGAAGCAGAGGGTTTTAACAGTACGTAACTGATTTTCACCCTCAGTGCAATGACATTGACAGTTAATGACAATTTGTATTAGGGAGGAAACCTCTTTAAAACAAAGAGACTAACAAGTTGCAGTTGTTCACCTGTTCCTTTTAGCAACACATCGGGATAAATCTTGTTTTGTGAAGGTTATCCTAACGGCATCAGAGCTGGCACAGTTACTAGGGAGCAATCACTGTGCTAAAACTTAACACACATTGTCTCACTGAATTCCCTCAACAATCTTGCTGGGTGGATACGATCAATCTTATTTTACAGGAAAAGGGTAAAGGGAAATAAGTAGAAGTCGGGCAATTTCCCCAAGGACACACAGATAATGAGTGGCAGGTCTGGGACTAGAACCCAAGTATGATTCTAAAAGCCTCTTATTTGGACCAATATCTTTAAATCTAACGCAATATCTTCTTTGGAAGACAAGGAAATAAGAGGCTCATGGTATCAGTGGAGCAGGAACGGGAGGAGAACCCAGATGTTCATCCTTAGCCTGATGCTCCTGCTCCTGGATCGAACACAAGGCATCTCCAGCATTTCCTTAGTTATTATTATTTACATTCATGCTTACCTCTGTGACTGACAACAAGTTCAAGAGAGAGATAACAGGTTCTCTCTACTCTAGATGTTCTTCCAATTACTGTGTGTCATGATCGGTGGTGAAAAGAAAAATATGGAGGTGCCTGGATGACTCAGTGGGCTAAGTGTCTGCCTTCAGCCCAGGTCATGATCTCAGGGTCCTGTGTCGGAGCTCCGTGTCGGAGCTCCCTGTTGGAGCTCCTCCCTACTGCTTATGCTCTCTCTTTCTCTCAAATAAATATACAAAATCTTAAGAAAAAATATGAAGCATGAAGTTTATGAAGCCTAATTGGATATCATCTGATTTACCCAATTTCTTTTTAAAAATGCAATCATCAAGCCTAGAGAAGGATTTTAATCTTCCAACTTTACCATAATTCACATTAGTTGTATTCATTATTCATATCAATGAGAGAACTGTCTTCATTGCCTGTGTACCATGAGGAATGATGACTATTTACCATGAAATATTGGATGAAGAGTTATGAAAAACTGCCACAACTCTACTTCTCTACAATATCACAACGCACATCATGGGTATTTATTGTTCTAGGAACGTGCAGTCTTCTACCATTTAAACCATTTCAACAACAACAAAAATGAAACAAAACAAACAAACAAAAAAAAACCATTTCAACAACTTAAAATGACCTCTTGGGCCCAGCACACACTTGTCAAACAGAACTGATTTATTTTATTTGTCAAGAAACATCTGAAAGTATCAACAGCTACACAGGTGCTTCTTTTTTCATCCAAAAAATCATTTATCTTAATTCCAATCTATCCTTATTCCAGATAAGGAAAAGGGAATGAGTATTTGCTGAGTATACAAAGTGTGCTGCTAACGTTGAGTCACACTCCAACTGGTTTCCCCGGCAGGAAGATGCACTTCCATGTGGATATCCTCTCAGCTAAACATGGTCATACAGTGGAGCTAATAATAAGAGGCCTCTGACAGTGCAGAGAGGTCTTTTGGTAATGAAAGGAGAGGTACTAATGATACTCTATGTCATTTGCGAGTTTCAAATGTCCTGGGGACATCCCATTTATAGGATTCTGCTCTCCATCTCTCAACAAGATTTGCAAGTAGAACCTGCTTTTGGTCCTTCCTTCATGAAAAATATCCTGACATCTCCATGCTAACACAGACAGAAGTACTCCCAGAGACATGTCAGCCCAGGTCATTGGCTAGGGATCTCCATAATGAAGCGGCTATGGGATAAAGTCCCCAAGACATTCCATGTCAATTGATGGCCCAATTTTAAATTTAATCTGCCAAGGCCAACTAGGTTAGGGACTTTATGATGTAATACTCAGGATTTCTACATTCTTTTGGATCCAAATCAGGAAAAGGGAGAACAATGATTTGGTGCCAATTCAATTTGATATAAAGGGAGGAGCAGAGTAAGTAATTAAAAAGAAGAGGACAAGGTTACTAGTGTTCTTTTTCAATGCTGGGTACATGGATCAATTACTGGAGCCCAGCAAGGAAGCTCTGGTTACACCAGACTAGAGCTGTCAACAGGAAGAGGAGCCAAGGTTGACCGTCATGGTGTTTCCCTCCATGCTCCCTCTCATGACCTGATTCCTCCCAAACAGCCACCTTGGCCCCCAACTCTGGATGCCAGTACTCATAAACAACCAGAACATGAACCCAATTCGCAAGAAAAACTGGTACCGTCTAACGTTCTGAGATGGACTGATATCCTGGCCTGATGGTCCCTGTGTTCTGCGTGGATTATGTACTTGCTGGTGTGTTATTCGCCACGGGATGCCCTCTGTACCAGAACAGTCATGTGGTCCACAATCCTCAGTAAGTGACACTCCCATGTTACTGATGTCCCTTCCTGGAGGCCTGCCCAGATGAAGGAGATGGAAAATCCTCTGTGAGCCAGGTGACTGCCAACTCCCTTCTGACCCTCTGGAGGCCACTGTCTTCCACTGCCACTCCCTTGCTCGCCATTAGGGAAGTGCCAGTCGGCAGGTTGCTAGGACAACTGGCGTCATTGCTGGGACACAGGAATAGATCACCAGCAGTGCTGGGAACCTGGATCACAAACTCTGATGACAGCAACAAGATACCCACTGGCAGCTAATGTGCTCTGCTAAAGGGAGTGACAGACTAACATTAGCCAGTAGACAGCTCTTACCTTGACATACTATCCTTTAATATCTACACTTGTGCTTGATGTGGTGGTGACAGAGTAGGGGCAAGAAACTCGCTTAAGATAAAGGCCGAACGATTTTATTATGAATTATGTGAGCAGCAGATATGCAGGAACCCAACTGACATCTGTATATCTAATTTATTAGGGTCCTGCAGGTGGCAGGGAGGGAGCTCATTCACAAGCAGAAGCATGAGAGCCAGCAAACAGGTAGAGCAACTCAGGTTGCCAAGGGGAAGGGAAAAAAAAAATCTGCCTGTACAGGCCATAGCTGTCCCCTCTCCGAACAATAACATCCTAAGCTCATGCCGCCTCTCCTTGGAGATCAAAGTAGGAAAGGCAAAGAAAACTGGAAAACTAGGGCTTGCCGTAGTGGAACAAGGGAACAATCTTTGTGACCAATCCTCTATGTGCTGCAGAGTAAGTTTTAAAATGCTTATAACGGGTAGCAACTCGTAGGAGCCCAGCGCATTAAGACTGACTATTAAAGTCTTGGATTTTAGCCCTGGAGAAATTATAATTTTTCAGTTCCATGCAAGCTACAAAGGCTTGAGAAGAATAAAGGGAGATGAAATGAAGAGCAGCCTAGTGAGAATTTTAGAAAAGTACTCCAGCAAGAATGTTTTGATTTCTAGATGCTGCACCGAGGTTGGTGTCCCAAAGTCCATGAGGATGACTGTGTGCTCTCTGAAAGAGCTCAGTACTCGTGCAATGGCCCTAAGCAGGCAATTCTGGTGGCACAGTGGATAAGTCCCATCCTGGTGCCAGACACTTGAGGCTGGAAGGCAGATGGTGACAAGACATGCGTGATGAAAGGTACAGGGAAAGAGGTGGTTTTTCTAGGTGGAAGAAGATGGCTCAGGGTCTAAAAAGCATGGCGACAAGACCTTGCCTGAGTTTTAGAAATGAAAGATTTCACAAGATTGCCATTTGTATTGCTCTAGTATTTCCTTGGGGCAGAGGGGGTGGGGGTTCTACTCATGCCATTTTAGGACATATGCACAAATAGAAAAAAAAAAGACTGAAAAGCTGACTTCCTCCACCTTAGGTTTCAAATAGCTCATTTTACTATGTCACCTGAAAAGCATTTTATACTTGTTGAGAGTTACTTTTTCTGAACCATGCACATATCCTTATTTTAGTGTCTGCAAAAAGTTAACCTAATGTTCAAGATGTATAGAAGATGAATGAATTCTTTCAAAGATTCCACCTAGCATAATTTTATTGTATAGCTATCCCTTGAAATTTAATATGAATATACATTGGGGGAGTGGTTAAATGACTTTCTGGTATTAAAAAAAAGATTATTTTACAAAAGTGAAAAATTGGGAGGAATTCAAAGAATGAAGCTATCTTTCTGTTTGTCTTTTTGTTTAACCTTCATCCCAAGGAACCATTTATTTGCTAGTAAGAAAGAACCAGCAGATTTTGTTTGGACTTTCTGGCAAAACAGTGTTATTTCATTTCTGTTTGTGCCTCACTTTTCTGTATGAAAGCAAAAGAGAAACAATAGTCTTTTAGAGGAACAATGAAAAGAGTTCAAGTCATATGGCATGAAACAATATATGAAAAATCACAAACATCACTAATATTTTACTTTATTTTTTTAAAGATTTTATTTATTTATTCATGAGAGACACACACACAGAGAGAGAGAAGCAGAGACATAGGCAGAGGGAGAAGCAGGCTCCATGCAAAGGGCCCAATGTGGGACTCTATCCTGGACCCTGGGATCATGCCCTGAGCCAAAGGCAGATACTCAACCCGAGCCACCCAGGCGTCCCACAAACATCAGTAATATTTTAACAAAGATGAAAGATCTGATCAGCCTGAGATGTCCAAAAGCATGAGACTTAATTGCTCTCTACCTGAAAGAATTTTCAGAGCCTCACTATTTCCTTCTCGGGACAGCACCGCTAACCACTCATTCCTTCTTTTGTGCACACAGGCTTCTCCAACAGTGGGCACTTCAAAGATACACCTCTTGAGAAATACTTTCTTACATTTTGGGTGTGGCCTGCATATCAAAGTTCAAGCTGAAAGCTCTATACCTGCTTGGGCTGAATGGCATCCTTTCTTGAAGTGACCCACGTTTGTGCCTCGGCTTCTGCAACCCAATATGCAAAATGATCCTAAAGGAGAATGGTTCTCTGATGCTACAAATCCCCATTCTACGTCTCTGTTGGCTGTCCTACAACATCATCACTGATGGAAAGAAGGTTCTGATGGAGAGGTGTCATTTGCCCAGGCTCAGGAGCAGGTAAGTAAGAGACTGGTTTTATCTACCCAACCTTCCTTGCCTTCTTAAAGCACATGGGGGCTAACATCTATCTCGGCTTCGAGGCCTGATTCTGCTGCGCAGCTGTGCTTGAAGGCTTCCCTGAGCACCCAGCTCTGGTCACCTACCTCACTACCCGAACCAGGGCACCTGCACCCCCCACCCCGAGGGCAGTAACTATTGAGTGCATATCACTGACACCTGGGCATCCAACAGTCTTTTAGTCAGTATATCATTTATTTAGTGAATTTTCATCTTCAAGAGAACACAAAAACTTCCACCTGGGCACTACTCCGTTAGAAGGCGGTCTCTCTAGGCTGCAGATGTTCCCATTCCCCCAGTGAACACGAATATGGTAGAAAATGCCAGAGCATTTTCCATTCCACAATCTCTGGGTGTTCTGTGTATCTCCTCAGAAGGAGTAGCTCCTGCAGAGGCCCCGCCAGAGGGCCCATGGCCAGGAATTAGTGAGACTTGGTTGAAAGAAGTCTGAGATGGGCAGGGAAAAGGGGGAAGCCCCAAACCCTAAGAGATCCAAGGCCACATGAGACCACCCTGGGTACCTATAGCCGGAGCCCTGAGGACAAGCAGGCCTCCTAACAGGACCATTGAAAGCTGGTTCCCCCCCCCAAAAAAAAAAGCTGGTTCCCTCGTTCTAACAGAAAATCTCCCCTTCACCCCTGCCCTGCTTATCTACTTCAGGTTTTTCTTTTTTCTTTCTTTCTTTCTTTCTTTCTTTTTTTTTTTTTTTTTTTTTTGCCCTAGTGCTAGAGAATGTGGTGTCACAGATGGCAAATCTAAAAGGTACAAATTGCCAGACACACAGGAAATTCCCAAATCACTCTTATCAGAGTGTGTGTATGCAGTTCTCTTACTCTGGGGACTAGAAATTCAGCTGCCATTTTTTGAAGCTTATAAAGACAGCATAATGCTATATAAATAGGCACAGAGGTGTATATTCTGGTCTTCTCGTTTCTTCCCAGGAAAAGCGTAACTCCTGCACTCAGAGCAGTTCCTCTGAAAGGGGCATCAATAAACACACAAAATCCAAGACACCTTCACTTGTGCCCTCCTCAAAAGCAACATAGGATGATGCCACCTGAAGAAAGCCTTTGTGACCTCCCCCCTCTCACACCACAGGAGGCGTTGGATGGGGTTAATTTGCGTCGGCAGACCATTTCTTTGTTCCAAATTGTGCATCATCCAGAAGTAAAGACAATGCGAATGATGCTATTCAGTAAATGGTGAGTTTCTTTCCAGGTAGACAGTGCACTTCAAGCCTGGTTCCCATTTTCAAAGGCGATGAAATGATCTGATGGCGAGAGACAAAGCCACGGCCATTCACAGAAGGCCAGGGCGAGCTGCTCAGAAACAACCCATAAAGCAAACCACTCAAATGGAACAGGAGAGGAAATACACACAGTGCAGGATTTAAAAAAAAAAAAACAAACCAAGGGTATCAGAAAATCCCCATACTCTATTGATAGTTCTATAAAACATTCTTTTTAAACAAATTGTTTCCTTTCCCACATTTACTTCACACATCGTAGACATTTAGTATCTACTTCTAAGTAAAAGAAACTTGATGGGTCGGTCTCTCCACGCCACCCCCTACCCACACCACCCCCTACCTAATCAAATGACTATCGGATTCAAGCAAGTCTCATTAGAACCGTGTTTATATTCCTTTTTCTAATGGGTGAGTCTGCACATGGGAAGCCCAGGCATACACGAACACTTTCCTTGGACATTCACTCAACTATTTGCTGAGTGCCCACTATGGGTGTTGTGGATTCAGCTGGTAATAATGGTAATAGTAATAGTAATAATAAAAATAATAATAATAGCCTTGCTTTCATGGGGCTCACAGTCTAGTCGAGGGGATGGACGGTTAACAAATAAATATATAATATATATAAGGTACTTAAAAGGAAAATGAAGTATGCTAGCAGGTACAGAGAGATGGGGTGGGTGCTAGTGTACAGAAGTCAGGAGAGGGTGCTTTGAAAAGGTAACTTGAGAAGTCCTACTCAAGGAGGCAGAGAAGCTTAAGAAAGAAATACAGATCACTGCCTCCTTGCATATATGCTAAGCAATATGTTTTTAGAGAGAAGGGAGAGGGAAGGGGAGAGAGAGGGAGAGAGAGAGAGAGAGAGAGAGAGAGAGAGAGAGAGAGAGAGATAGCACCTTAAATAGGCTCCAGGCCCAGGACAGAGCCCAATGTGGGGACCCTGAGATCATGATCTGAGCTGAAATCAAGAGTTGGATGCTTAACCAACTGAGCCACCCAGGCGCCCCTATTCTAAGCAATATTTGAGTGTGGAGGTGGACGGTTTTTAAAAACTTAACTTCAAAAGTGGCTCATATTTTATTTTCAAAAAGACCAATGGGTAGACTCTCAATTTAAATAACTAAGACTGGGACACCTGGGTGGCTCAGTGGTTGAGCTTCTGCCTCAGGCTCAGTCTGTGATCGCAGGGTCCTAGGATGGATCATCAGGCTTCCCACATCAGGCTTCCCACAGGGAGCCTGCTTTTCCCTCTGCCTTTGTCGCTGCCTCTTTCTCTGTGTTTCTTATGAATAAATAAAATCTTTTAAAAAATGACTAAGACTATATTAGCATCAAATGAGCACCTTTGAGTTGTCATGCTATGCAGGAGGGTAGGTATCATGATGGTGACAACATGAGATAGGTTTATTTATTTATTTGTTTATTTAGCATAAGACTGTGCTCAATAATTTAAAAGCGGTTGTAAACTGAAGTTGTGCCAAATCACTGACTTTTTAGAAGCCAAACGGGCTAAAACGAACATTCGACCTGCCTCATTCAAACTGATATATTATGCAAGGTGACCCACGGAGCCAGAAGAACCACCAGCGGTCATTTCACTCAACTTTCTCATGTTACTCCTCATAATCGAGTCCAAGGGGCCTTAGGGGTTCCAAGGTTAAGTGCAATGTCACACAGAAAACCCAGGTCTCCTCTAACACGTAGGTAAATTTTCATTACCACCCCTTTCATGTCCAAGATACCATATCTTTGAGCCAGGTTGAGACATTTTCAAGAGCAAAGTTCACCTGCTAGAAAGATGGCAGCAGATCTGAGAGGGGGCTAATGGGGACAGGCGGAGGGGTCCTCCAGAGGCAGGCAGTTTGTGGTGCAGTCTGAGAAGAAGGCTGAGGACAGATACCACTAATTCCAAGGGCTGCTATGGTAGTTCCTCAAAGATGGATAAATCCACATTCCTACCCCATCTACGCGCAAACACATGTTCTTTGAGAATCTCCTGCTTTTCCTATCCTAATGGTACACCTTTTGGAGAACCAAGGACGGCAAAATATGAACTCAGTGTAAAAATGCACCAGGATCCCAAAAGATTGCTAATGACTAAGATGACTAATTTCACAACTTGCTGAGAAAATTGCAACTCTCCCCAACCCTCCCCCCCAACACCAAGCAAATGCAATTTGGAAGAGGAAGTCCTTAGCACAGAAGGAGTTCACTAGAATTTAGTATTTTCTTCCTTTCTCTCAACACACTCCGTTTACAGAAGGATTTTAAAATTACTTCAGTTGGCCATGTGGCATCTTAAAGTTTACACTTCAGAACTTCTTTGAAAACCTCATTTAATGTTTGGGGTTTGACAGGGTATCACATGAGCATTCAAAGCAATGGTTTAAAAAAAAGAACCCACCAGATTTGAAACAAAAGCTATTTTGATTACAGTATCTGCATTATTCATTTAGATGTAACCTGAAACCTAAAGCACTTTTCCATAAGACACTTGTTTCTTAGGATAAAAATGCTTTAAAAAACATCACCAGAAAAAGAGAAATCACCAGCAGTGTATTCTAATCAGCCATCTGATTCGGAAAATAATTTCTAGTAAAATATACTGATCCTCTACGACTCAAATTATTCTTTAATATGTCATAGAAACTTTTACAACAGAGAGTTTTTTTGTTTTTTTGTTTTTTTTTTTAGTAAATATTAAAGTGCCTACAAAATACTGTGCCCCTTATGGGTCTTCAAACCAAGATGTCAACTGATCAAATTAACAGGTTATTTGTTGTTGCATACAGATTTACAAAATAAAAGGTAATATACAGAATTAACAAAATAGCACTTGATGGGGGTTGTAACGTGTGACTTGTTCCAGATTTTCTTGACCTCAACCGTAAGACCAGGAATAGAATTCAGGTCTGGTGATTCCAGGAGCTGTATATTTCCACTGGAATCAATGTGAACATATGTACAAAGTGGAAACACATTAAAACGCCAGTGTTTCCCACCATTTACACTGAGGCACTGGAGATTTTTAATTTAATAAGCTTATTTTAATATGACTACTTAACCCTGAGGAAACAGGGGATAAAGATGCATATTTTAAATACATATTTTTAGAAAACCACGAAATAAAAAATATTCAGCGGAAATTTTTCTTTTCAGTGTTAATGCTTTTTCTCCCTGATATATGCCCTCATATGGCTGCACCTTGCTTTTTCAAAATCATAGTGCAACTGGAGAAATATAAGTGAAAAATGCCTGGAGAAGTTTCCCAACTGAATTGTTAAGAAGTGAAGAACTTATTATAGAAAATGTTACATAAATTTATTTTGTATATTTATAAAAATATATGTGCATATATATGTTATGTACACACATATGCATTTATGTATATAATGTATGCACAAATATACAATATACATTAAGTATGTATATATGTGCATGTATTTACACACACACACACACACACACACACACACACACACACAAAGTCCTAGTCAGAGCTGGTTCTTACTTTTCTAAAACTTGAAGAAAATACACTCACAGCCCATTCTGGATTTCCTGCAGCTGGATTCTTTCCTGATTAAAACCCTATAAACTCTTTTTCTTTTGGCACAATCTAACAATGAGGTGAAGACTCCAGAAAATAACAGAGCTGGTCAGATTCCTATGTTTTATGGCGGGTAAGCCCCTTGAAACCCATAGTGTGCTGTATCCCCTCAACTACTTGATACTAAAGTTCCTCATGAAAAGCAACCGGCAGCTGATACTTTACTAATCCCAAAGCCCTGACCCTGCAACCTGATAAAAACCAGTAAGTCAGCCAATTCTGAATAAGAGAAGCACCCAAAACAACTGACTGTATTTGCACACCTCAGATATTTGAAAGCCAGGAAAAAACCCCAGAAACATTCATACCAAGAACCAACCAACCAACCACCACCACTACTGACAACAACAAACTTCCCATAAATAAAAATATTTGCTTGGTGGAAATTCTCCTTGCTAATCCTTAGGCCAGAGAATTTTACCCCCTACCCCCCCAACCTAAAAGAACTGGGACAGCCCAGTTGCAAGAGTCTGCTCTAAACTTGACACTGTGTGATGTCCCAGGAGCAAGGGCGCTCTACCAGTGAAAGAGTCACTGTCTTCCACCCGTTTATACCAGAGGTAGATAATGAGCAGTGCTCCACGGAAAGCGGAGAGAAAGGCAAGATCACGGCAAATAGAAAAGAACCTCTCCTCTAAAAAAAGAAATTAATTGGATGATCACTTGGAGCTCATGCTAATGCCCCTTCATCACCCTGGCTCGGTGACATGCAATGATTCACAAATCCTTGCAAGGCAAGCCACTGCAGATGCTGCTCTTGTTAACTTACGACATTCACTGCGCGCCGTTCGCAGGTAGCCCTGGCTCAGCCTTCACCATGGAGACTTCCCACAAGAAGCTGGAGCGCTCCTAGGCTCAGGCGTGTTCTTTCTTCCTTCCAGAGGAGTGAGAAATACCTAGCGCGGGAGCAGAAGAGAAGAAAAAGAAAAAGGTAAACGCCTCATCCAATCACTCATTATCTCAACAAATGAAGTCTGATGATCAATTAGACTAATTGATCACCCACCGAAGACCATATTCCAGTACTCTCGCCTTAAAGAAGAAATTTCGTATTTTTGCTCCTGCCCCAGGAGACGTAGCGTGGCTGGGTGAGCCTTTTACCCCTGTCCCTCCCATGCCTGCCCTCCCCACAAACCCATATAAGTTGAAGCCAATTCTGGGGGACTCCTGATGTAATCCGGGCTGAGAAGCCAACTTGCAACCCAGCCTCCGACCACGCCACCTGATTTTTTACTCTCTGCAAAAGGGAGGGAGAAAGGACGATCACCTCTTGCCATTTTCAAACCTCACTGGGTTGTTGGGGAGATCAATAAGATCACTCTTGCAAAGTACTCACAGTTCCCGAGGAGAAAGGCACTATGTAAACGCCAAGTATTATTAGTGGTCATAAGCCTGTTACTGAGCTCTGAGCCAGAATTTAAAAGCCAGCTCTGGCTACCCACCAACAGGCAACTCTCCCCTGGGGCACCCAAATGTGCAAAAAGTCTGCTCGGGCTGCTGTGCTAAAACTTCCTTTCCATGGAGGGGTCCTGGGGAAGCCCAGGACCAGAAACAGAGCCTTCTGGAAACTCAGGGAGAAAGAAAGTGAAGGCTTGGATCAGAGCAGGAAGCAAACGGAAGGGGGAGGGCGGTGGGGAGTGGAAGGTGGGTGACAGAGGCCTGAGCAGGGGCCTCATAATTTGGTCCCTGCCACCCGGCTCCCCCCCCGATTGCTGGTTTACACTCTTTAGTGCACTGAAGCTTTGCAGGGCTGTGAAATTTTCCACTTGGCTGTCTGCCATTCCCGCCCACCGAGGATAACACTTACACACACACAGAAGTGCCACACCGATGCCCTGCTGGAGAGGACTGGGAGGATTTTGTTGTTTGTTTGTTGCTTTTAAAGAAAAGACCTATTCATAGTCTGATCCTTAATATTTTCCACACCTGGACTTCTTGATTTTTTCCCCTCCTTTAAGGCAGAGCCAAGGAATGGCTTTCCCCAGGCCAATATTATCAAGTTATTTTGACTTGTGTGTCCTGGAGGAGCAGGCTTGAGGTATAGGAACTTACGTGACAGGCCTGGGGGACAGTGAGGAACAGAGAATTCAAGTGCTAACTTTGCTAGAACCCTGTTTGCTTCCTGAACAAATCATCCCCAAGTGAGTTCCCTTTCAGAGCCGCAGCACGCCGTGCAAAGGCGGGAGGCTCAGGAGTAGCGCTGTGGGCGTTGACACTGTTTTCGAGGGAAAATTGTGGTCCTTATCATAAAAGAACAACAATAACAAAAGGCAAAAATGAATAAGTGCAAATCGTCTATTTGGAATTGGTGAAATCCTGACAAGTATCCCTCCAAATAGCTAAAAACTGGAGAGAAGAAAATTAGGACAGAAAGGAGAAAGGAGGTACCTGCCACGAATATGATTCACCAGGGCTTTTATACTGAATACAGTTTACAAAGTGCTTTTGTCTTCTTTTTTTTTTAATTGAGACATAATTGATAGACAGTACTATATTAGTTTCAGGTGTACAATGTGCTTTCCTATTCATTCACTCGTTCATTCATTCACCAGATGGATGTTTACTTGGTGCTTACTGTATGCACCAAGTTCTAAGTTCGTGATGGTGAACAAGATGAACAAGGACTATACCTTCAAGGGGCTCAGTGTCTCAGGAGGGACAGACACGACAATCAGTGTATACCCTCGCCAGTCCATGTGTGACACTTGAAAATTGGGTGGGCGTTATGAAGGAAAAAGAAACACTGGGATTTGCGATCATAATTGGGAATACCTCACTTGGGAGGGGCTTCGGAAGGCTTTTCTTACAAAACCACCATTTGAGAGAAGTTAGCCAGGTAGGGGACACAGCCTCTGCATGATGGGACCGGACTGGATACATGCGACCGATGTCTGGTATTTTTTTTTAAAGATGTTTTATTTATTTATTAGACACACACACACACACAGAGAGAGAGAGAGAGAGAGAGAGAGAGGCAGAGACACAGGCAGAAGGAGAAGCAGGCTCCCTGCGGGGAGCCTGATGTGGGACTCGATCCCGGGTGTCTAGGATCACGCCCTGGGCCAAAGGCAAGCGCTAAACCGCTAAGCCACCGGGGCTGCCCAATGTCTGGTATTTTTATCTTCTTTTTTTCTGGCCATTTCAACGGGGCCTCCTTTGTCAAGAAACGAGCAACACAACTGTTCTCAGTACCTTGAAAGAAGAGATGATTTCTTCTTTCTGACCGCCAGGCCATCAGCACAACAAACACTAGTAATTTCTGCTAGAGGAGCACCATTCCATGCAGGTATTATACTTGATGTGACAGGAGAGGAAGCCTCCGGTTTCCTAATGCATCTCATGTCACCCTGTCACCCAGTCATCACAGTGAAATAAAAGGAAGCTCTGTTAACACCTGCATGCCACAGCTGGAGTTAAGAAAGCCCTCCCCCGCCCCCAAAAGGGCTAAAAACAGATCACATTACATGTAAACTTCTGAAAAAAATCTTCCTCATGCCTTGCATTAGGTTCCAAATTTGCTGGCTTCCTCTTCACTCTTAAGATGTTTTTATCATTTTTCTCGTGGACTGCAAGCAGCACTGATGTCCACCTTCAAGAGTGTCCTGTGAGCCTTCTCATTTGGTTCTCGGCTTGGTTACCTGTTTATTTACCCAGGAAAGCAGCATGATGCAAAGCAATAAAAAACAATGGAAGTGTTATGTTTAACTGAAGTGTTTTCTTGTTCCCTATCACCCCCGATCTGGTACAACTTAATCCTTCCACTAGGGAAAATCAGCTAATTCGCTTTCTTCATCCTGCAAAATGAAGGCATCCTCAGACAGGTTCATTCATGTCCTCCCCGTGAATGAAGGGAGTTTGAAAGTCTGTTTGAAACAAATAAGCCAAACGTCTACTTGAGCCTTGTCCCATTTAAAGACATCCAGGACGAAATGTAATTTCTCCTACAAGTTTCTCATATCACCAAAACCCCCAAATTAATAATACTTCAAGTCCAAAGTCTTGAAAATACAAATCCTCACTCTGACTTAGCAGTCGTGATGAACTTTAGCAAACTGTGGGGGGGTGGGGGGGTGGGCAGGAAAAAGCTCTTCTGGAATCCAAGCATCCAATACCTCCACCATCAGACTTGGGAAATCATGCCAGGCTGACAGTTTCTGGTCCAGAGTAGAAGATGACACAATGCCAATGTCTCCTTCCCCTGACTGCCCACAGCACTCACAGTCTCTACCACATATTTTGACTCCAGGTCCTTTTCAATTCATCACTCCATTATACTGCTTTCTATACTCTACTGGATTTACTTAAGTCTTGAAGGTTCAGAAAGTTTATAAGCTCCTTGACGAAAGAAACCTTGCCGTGCCTTTCTTTTGCAGCCTCCTCACGGTGTCTAGCAGGAGAGCTTGAATTTAAATTAAATGATCCATATCCAAAACCTGTTCTACGACTTAACCTTTACACCAAAGGAATGACTACTCTACAGCTGTAATTTAAGTCCTTCCCACCCGTCTCTGTCCTCTGGGATCCCGCAGCTCCTATGATGCCTATCGTCCACATGAAAGCCCTCCATGAGCTGGAGAACAATTAAGTCACAATTTTGCCTTTCTTTTGTTCTTCCAACCCATTATTATGTGTTTAGTCATTCGGGGCTTTTCAACAGTTGCCATATAGATCCTTGATTCTCACTGCTTTCCAAAACCACTGTTAAGGAAACCCTGGGGGGTGTATAGAGGGATGCAGACACTCTGAGGCAGTGCTGAAGAACCTGAACCGTTATCAGAAAAACCTGGAGGTCAGGGCACCTCGGTGGCTCAGTCGGTTAAGCAACTGCCTTTGGCTCAGGTCACAATGTTGGGATCCTGGGAATGAGTCCCATGTTGGGCTCCCTGCTCACTGGGGAGTCTGTTTCTCTCTTTCTCTCTTCCCCTCCCCCCGCTTGTGCACACACGCACACGTGCTCTCTCTCTCTCTCTCTCTCAAATAAATAAATAAAACCTTAAAAAAAAAGAAAAGAAAAATCTGGAGGTCTTATGAAAACCTGGAGGTCACAGATACCTGGGTTCCCCCCACCCTGTCCAGTTTCTTCTCATTCATTAGACTTGGGGTGGGACCAGAGTACTTGCATTTCTAACAAGGTCCCGGGTAAGGCTGCTGGTCCGCGGACCACACTTTGAGAACCACTATAGGTAAGCTTGCTGTAAAGGTAAGCCTTTCAGTCAATGATATAGCCAGACAGAGGCTAAGCATCTTTGGGGTATATTTAATCCCTAGGAGATGGGTACACTGAAAAAAAAAAACACTCCAAAAAGGCTCACCTACCTTATAATCTGGGGGAAATTTTTGTTGCCTTTTGGGCTCTTGTCTGCTCTCCCTATACTGGCTTCAGGTCCTGTCAGGGTCAATTCTGCCCTTCATCTCTCCATGTCTTTTTCTTCTCTACTAGAAACTTCTCAGCCTAAGCACACACAGCCCATGCAATCCCCAGGAGACCTTCCCCAGGCTCTGCAACATTCCCCTGTGGCTGTTGCCTCTCTCTTGTTCACTAATGAACACGTGAAAGTGTGGTACAAATTCAATGCTCGTACTTTACCAGATACAGCTTCACCTGCCTCCTAAAAGCAGTGGCTTTTTCCTAACTGACTTCTCTTCTACTATTTGGCTATGGCTCATCAGTAGGTTTATTTTATTTAGTGGACTCGTCTTTCTCCCCAACAGTGTCTTTCTCAAATGACTTCTCTCTCCTTCTTTCATTAGCTGGGCTGGGGTGGCCTCCCGACTTGGGTGCAAAGATGGGCACATGCTTTAGTTCTGGAAGACTACAATACACATCCCTCTCACCAGGATGACTGACTTTAGGGACAGGCACATAACCAAAGCCAATCAGAAGCCTCTCTCAGAC